CCAACCGGTTCCATTTACTCAGACATTATTCATTTGTGTGAGATATATTTTTGCGCCCACTTTTTTCCTTATACTCAAAATATTGCCCTTGTGATATTCTATTCGCACTCCATGCTCCGATTAGATTCCCTCATCACTTCGCTTTGGTTATGCTATTCATTTAGTATCCCAAGGACATTGTATGTGAAGTTTGCTTAACTATATCCTTGACTGTAGGAGATGACTGGTTCTACGAAATATGATTTTCTTATCAATTCGTGGATAATTTAGTACTAAGTTATTTAGTTATTACTTATAGTCGCAAATTTAGCCTATTTTATAACCTTTTCTTGCGTGCATACATTATTTTTGCAGGCGCATTACCATGTCTTCGTGATTCCAACCCACTCAGCATAGGCCAAATTTTCCTAGCTATTCATTCAGGTGGCCTTACAAACAGATTCCACTATAGCCTACTATTAAAATGATCCTAAAATGTTTTGCTTCAAATAATCTTCTTATTGAGCATCTATAAGGCTAGATTGAGTTATTTTTTCCGGTATAAAGGCGCAAGCAGGCTCTTGAGTTTGTGTGCACAGACTAGACCAAATTGAACCTATTTTCGTTCAACGAAAGTGTTTTTCTTAATGGCATAAATGGCTAGACGCTAAGGTTGCATGGCGTCGCCAAAGCTAAATTACCTAAAACTATTATATCGACTCCGAGCTTCTATACAACTTTGGCCTATTCCATTCTCTCCAAAAGGTGGGTGTCACTGCTGCTTGTACGGTGCGCAAACCAACACTTGTTCTCTGCACCTCAGCTGTTGCCGTAGAGCAGTGGCGCGCCCAATTCAAACTCTGGTCGACAGCTGACGATGGACAAATCCTTCGCTTTACCAGTGATGCTAAAGATCGGCCTTCTGGCAGATCTTGCATCTGTGTTAGCACCTACTCAATGATTGCACATACACAAAAGCGCTCCTATGAGGCCGAGCGCCTAATGGATTGGATCCGCGGACAAGAATGGGGTCTTATCGTATTAGACGAGGTTATGTCGCTTATTTTCACATATAATTGGGATCTAACTATTAAGATAATATTAATTTTATTATAAAAGTCATTTGTCTATCTATATTTTAATTAATTATAATTTAACTAAGTACCGTTTAACCCCGATTAGAGGCATTCAGCTTTCTTAATGGACATATTTATATTAGAGTCTTGAGTAGAGAGTTATGATTAGTTATTTGTGTTAATTCTGAGTTGCCTAGTTCTCAATATATTCACCTTTAGGGGCCATTGATTCTTAGCTACCTTTAAGATTTTAAATGTGGCTTAAGTGAAACGAAAAAAGTGTATAAGCTATTTAAATGCAGTCGACGAATTTCTCTGATATCCTTAATCGTATTTAAATAGAAGACATTTAGTATCATTATTCACTGTATAAGCCTTGTTCGCTGACGAGCCTTTGCTAAAAGCAGTGTGTGTTGCCATTGATTAAGCATAGAGATTGAACTTTTATACAGCTCATAAAATGAACAAGTCAACTTTGC